CGTCCTCAACTTTGCGCATTTTAAACACATAGTGGCCGACCTTGACAGTAAGTAACATTACCGAATTGTTGTAACCATAAAGAAATACGTTTCGGGATTCGATTTTTTACTTTGTTTTCCTTTCAACCATGAGTCCCACAAATTTTCTGCATACTTGCCTTGACGATTCAATTTGTTTTTTATCTTTTATTAATGGTTTTTCACATTATGCACAAAACTTTTTTTGAGCTTTTTTTGTACCGACGTCACAGAAAACACAATTTTCGATTTTCCGAAAATGTAATTGAACAAAAAGTTAGGTTTCACTAAGACAAGCTTCGACAAAAATGCGCGTAGGTGGCGCTAGTGAACTTGACAAAAAAACGCGAGTGGCCTACCTAGACAGTAGGCCAACCTTGACTACATTCCCCTAATTATTAAAGTTACAATTATATTTAATAATTTAGTACTATATTTTTTTTAATTATCTGAAGAATTTTTCCAAAGGTAAAAATCAATTTCGAAAAATTCTCGCAATAATCAGAAGAAAAGAAGAAAAAAATGCAAAATTTGATATTTTTGTAAAAATTTCATCCTCCCAGTGTACAATTTTTGTTTCGAGTATTTTTTCCCAACAGTTTCTGACCTGTGCCCTTTAAACATGAACCATATGTATGTATATACTTGTCAATACGATTCACTCATTTCATTGTGGATTCTCCCTTGTTCTCTGTTTGACATGCATACCTGCAATCGCAATTTATCGCATTTTCATAACACGAGTGCACGCATCATCCTGCAATCGTGAATTTTTATGCGCTAAGTATTGCACATCGCGTTACAATACATATATGCACACATTAGAATTATTTATTCTTTTCTTTTTTTTTTAATATTTATTTATTCACTTTTTTTCGTTTTTCATATTTCTACCTGCAAACCATTCACATGACACATGTCTACGCCAGCGTAAAATACTTTCAAAAAAAAAAAAAAAAATAGATGTATATACGTACATTGTACATGCGTTATTTATTCATAATATAAATTCGTTCTATATATATTCTCTCCTAGAAAAAAAAAATTAACCTAAACTATACGTAGATTTCTTGCTAAAAAAAAACATACATTATTTAAATTTTATTGTATACACTTCGTTCCTCTGTCCTTATTTCTCAAGCTTTTTTTCTATTCTTTAAAAAAAAAAAAATTCCTTATATTAAAAAATTCTATTTCTCTATTTTTATCATATTGTACATAATATTCGAGATAAAAAAACAAAAATATTTTCAATTATTTATATAACTTACATAAACTTGACTATCTAAAAGCAAATTATTATAAACAAAATTATATTTCGCTAAAAAAAATAAGCATTCTTGTCTTTTTTCTTAACAAATATAAACGCAAGAAAATATTTTCTATGATTCCATAAAATACATTAAGTTTCCCATAACAAAAACTGTTCCTGAAAATTCTATTTCTATTTACAGCAATAGAATTTTTCTCCCATTTAGAAAAATTTTTTCAAGGCGAAAATAGTGAAAGAAAATTTAAAACTTTACATTTTTTTTCAGGCCGCGATATTTTTCTACTCAACCGAATTTTCTTTTTATTCTTTAAATTTTTTTCGAAAAACTGAAAATTGGTATTTTCACTTTTTTTCCACATTCCAAGTTTTAAATAACCGGTTATTCGTTGTTGATTAATTAAAAATTTAATTTAAAAACTTAGTTATTAATTTTTACTCTAAAATAAATATTAAATGTAAATTTTTCCGATTATTGAGAGTTGTGCACACAACAACTCAATTTTCAATTTTTAATAAATAATAAAATTAATAAAATTATTTAAATAAATACTAATTGGAATAGTTATTATTAATAGTGATAATTATAATAATAAAAAATAGTAATAATAATAATGGTATTAAGAATAATAAACAAATTTTTTGTTTACTCTCGTTATTCGCACAAAGTTATTATTGTTATTATCATTATTATTAATTATAAGAATAATAATGTACTAATAATAATAGAAGAAGATCTGAATTAGAATAACTAAAAATAAAAATAAAAAAAAAATTACTAATGACAGTAAGAATAACAATTACAATTACAAAAATAATAGATAACAACAATGGGACTCGTTTAATAAAATTAAAAAAAAAACTTTTTAAAAAATTACTTCAAACAAGAATAACCAGTTAAAAAGAAATCTCGTCTATTTTTAAATATAAATTTTAATTAATTTTGTTTTTATTTTGTTCTTATTTGCATAAAATTTCGATTTTCTTTTTTCTGACAAATTTTCATGTGAATTTCGGTTTTTCTTTTTTTGTTCAAAAATTTCAAGATCTCGAGATTATATTTTCCCGACCAGCCCTGATTTTAAGGCCTAGGTCTCTGTGAAATTGAGGTCATTTATAGATTGTGTTTACTGACTCAAAATAAAAATACGTGAGAAGAATATTATAAAGAGGAAAAAAAAAAAAAAAATTAGTGAATGTAGGCGCTCACGTTCAAAATTGAAGCCCATGACCAGTGATGCGCGAGTAAATTATTAATTTGATACACGCATATACGGGCAGTTAACTTGTTCTCCCAATCGGCCCCACCCCTCCTCTCTTCTCTAAATACCCCTCTTTTTCACGACATGTTTTATTAACAAGAGAAACTTTTGCTTACTCATCAAAAATTGTCACACTATAATAAATTCATTTTATCACTATTCGAGTTTTATGTCAATTTCTTTTTTTTTATTTCTTAAACTATTTTCTTTTTGAATAATTGTGATTTTCTTTTTAAATTTTTTTATTTTGAATTTTTCATTTGGTAAATAAAATTTTTTGTAAATATAATAACAATTTTAGATGAAAATAACAATTTTTAATGGTTTAATTTTTCATTTATTCTTAATTTTTTTTAATTCGATTTTTGCGAAATTTTCATTCATTTTTGTGAATTTTTAATTCATTTTTTGAGAATTTTCAATTTATTTTTAATTCAATTTTAATTCATTTTCAAATAAAATATTCAATTCATTTTCAATTTCATTTAATTCCAAATAAATTTATTCATTTAAAATTAAAACGCTTTTTTTATCTAAAAATTTTTTTTCTATTTTTTACAGCAATTGCGATTTTTTGCAAGTTGAAAATATTTACAAAATTACTGTTTTTGTAAAGAATAGCAATTTTTAAATTTTGTTCATTTTGTTTTGTTATATCTAAAATTTCTTAACTATATTTTCTGCAATAATTGCAATTTTTTACTTAGAAATTTTTTTATTTGAAAAATCGTATTTTTTAAAAACAATAATAATTTTTTATGTAAATAATAACGATTTTGATTTTAAATAAATTTGTTGATTTAAGATTAAAATGTTTTTATTTTTAAATTTAGTTCTTTTTTTATCAAAAAATTTTTTTGCAATTTTTTTATGACAATTGACATTTTTTACAAGTTGAAAATATTTACAAAATTAGTTTTTTTTTTTTGTTTCTAACAAATAAAAAATAAATTTAAATTTATTTTTCATTTATTTTTTATTTGTCTTTAATTTATTTTTAATTTAATTTTACTTTAATCAAATTTATTCATTTGAAATTAAAATACTTTTCTTTTTAAATTTCGTTCAATTTGTTTTGTTTCATCTAAAATTTCTGAATTATTTTTTCTACAAAAATTGCGAATTTTTACAAGTTGAAAATATTTACAAAATTATTTCTTTTATAAACTATAACAATTTTAGTTTGCATAATTTTCATTTCATTTCTAATTTATTTTTTATTCATTTTTTATTGATTTTCAATTCATGTTTAATAAAGTTTTAATTTAATTTAATTTTAAACAAATTTATTGATTTGAAATTGGAATCTTTTTCTTTTTTAAGTTGGTTCAATGTGTTTTGTTTTATTTTTTCTAAAATTATGAATAATTGGAAATTATTTTCTACTAAAACTGTTAATATTTGGAAATTATTTTTATCTAAAATTGTCACTGTGTAAAAAAATGTATTTGATTTAAATAAACGATTATATTCCTACTAGTAATTAAATATTTATTTTTGTTAATAATTTTTATTTTGGTTCATTAAATTTTTATTTGCTTCAAATAATTATTTGCTTTGAACACTGACATTATTGGTTCAAATACAATTTTTTGATCCAAGTAAATATTTATTTGATTCAAGTAAGTATTTATTCGATACAAGTAAATATTCATTGGATTCAATAAAATATTTTTTTATTCAAGTAAATTTGAATAAAAAAATCAATCATTTGATTCAAGTAAATAATTATTTGGTAATAAAAAAGTAATCGATTATTTAAATCAAATAAATTCTTCTTCTTTTTTAAATAGAAAATTATCTCTCTCTATAATTAAAAAAAAAATATTTTCTATCAAATTTCTATCAAATGAAAAAAAAAATCAATTTGATTTGAAAAAGAAGCGAAATTAAAATTTTATTTTCACTGTGAATTATCGAATGGTTTATATAGTTGCGTGCCACGATTTTTTTTCGGAGTGGCCGACTTTTAATGTTTTGACTTTTGTTTTTCTTTTATTTATTTTTTCTCCTTATATACGAAGAAACTCTCGGTGAGTATAAAACCCTTAGCGCAGTTGTAACATTTACTAGTTTCGAAATACGTTAAATTTATTACGAGCGTGTTGAAGCACGTTGCGATATACAAGCCGGAAAACTCTTCGCGAGCTTTTACTTTACTTCGTACACAAGATTTCCTCAAACGTTACTCGCCACCCTCCCTTATATCTTTACTTGACGTTTCAACCCTTCACACGCCTTTGGAAGTCACGAAATTCAATTATACCTCGCACGCTCTCTCACATCCGTTTTATTAAAAACAATTTTTCCCCCTTTTTTGATATTTAGCATTTATTTTTCAATTTTCGCTTCAATTTTTCTTTTTTTCTTTTCTATTCACTGAAACCTTATTTTATTTAAACTTTGTTTCAATTTAAACAGAATCAAGAAAAAAGAAAGTTCCCAAAAAATATAAAAAAAATAAATAAAATAAAAAATATGAGTAAAAATATTAATTTTTGTATGAAAAAAAATTGCAATTTTTCTTTTCAAAAAAGAAAATAAAAGTCATATAGTGTTAAACGAATCGTTAATTATAGCGTGAAAGGTCAGCCCTTCGTATAAAGATTTTAGTTAAAGCTTCTCTCTCTCATCATAATGTTTTGTAATCCCTCGCTTTTCTCATTCATTGTTATTTATTTTTTTTTATCTTGTCGCCGGGGGTAGAGAAGAGAAAGACAATCCTCTTTATAAAAAGTTCGCAACACAGTATAAAGAAATAAGGCAGGCAAACGAATGTTATTTATTATATTATATGAATGGTAATTAAATTATTTCTTTCTCCCTTATTATCTTCGTGTAATCTACAAATAATAATAAAATAATAAAAATAATATGAACAAAAAAAAAAAAATTAATGGCGCTCTGGATTCTAGGCGATTGATCCTCAATGATATTATTATCAGACACCAAAACCTACAATTACAAGGATAATAATGGCTTTTCTCCTGATGATTTTTATTTCGCAATTCACAATTTTTTTTTACTCTCAAATATAGAGAAATATAGTTCGAAAATCAACTTTCAAAACGCGGCCAGCGCGACAATTATTTTTAAATACTATTTTGAATAAATTTTTCAAAATGAAAAACAATTTAAGGAAAAAAATTATTTTTTAAATAGAATATTTAAATAAAATTGATCTTCGATTTTTTTTTATAAAATATTTAAATAAAACTGATCTTCGATTGAAATGATCTTCAAATCGTTGTGATTGGCGAAGATTATTATGGCAGCGCATTTTTCTTTAATTACAACAATGCTCAATAACTTTTGCCCATTAATTTCTTTTACCTACGTTTTTATAATTATTTTATTGAGAAAAATTTTTTGCACGTAAACAATATTCGTGAATTTGTTACTTTTTTTTGTTCAGTAGTAGAAGTTCGTTTTAGTCAGACATATTTTTTGCATTTATTATCAGTGGTAAAAAAAGTTTACCAGTAAAAACTGGAATTTATAGTAAATTCTGATCAGTAGTAATTGTCAGTTTTAGTCAGACGTATTTTTACCGCAAGACTAAAAAAACTTTTTTAGTGGTCCACTAAAAAAAAGATTTTTTTTTTATCTTTTTCTGTAAATAATCTAATTTTTAGTATGACAAAAATGTTTATTTTTTTAATTTTTAGTAAAAGTAGTAAACATAACGTATAGTCAGACAGAACTGTCTTAAATCACAGACATCGTTACACAGATTTTTTACTATTTAAAAAACAATAATTTTTTAAATTTATAAAATAAATTTTTAAATATTTAATCTGTAGTTCTGGTAATTTTTACTAAAAGTACTAAATATACTACTTAGTCAGAACAAAAATTAAAATTATAGTCGTTTTAGACTCAGTAGTGCAAGCAGTTTTTAGTCAGACAAAGAATCGTATTTTTTAATTTTACTACTTTAGTAGCAATTAATAAAACTCAATTTTAGTTAAACTAAGAATTGTTCAGAATCAGTAGAAGATGTCAGTTTTTAGTCAGTCCCGTAAAGTTTTTCATCTTTTTAAAAAACAGTATTTTTCAATTTTATTTCCTGTAAGTTTTCTACTTAGTAGTACAAGTAATTTTCAGTCAGACCGAAAATAATTGAATTTTTGAATTATAATATATCAGTAGTAAAAAATAATTCTAGTCAAACTACGAAATTTTTAAGTATTAATAGCAGAATGGTATTATAGTCAAACAAAAATGATTAATTCTTCTTTAGAAATAACTTAAAATATTAAATATCAGTAGGTAATGCAATTATTTGTCAGACTAATTTTTAAACTTGTTTTTTCAAAAGCCTAATTGTGAAAGTTATTTCCAATGATAAAAATCATTCGAGTTAATTTTTATAAGTAGTAAAAGTAATTTTTAGACAGACTGTAATTTTAAACAGTTATTTTAATATCAGTAATTCAGTAGTAAATGTCAATTTTAGTCAGACACAGTTTTGAAGTATTTTTTTAGTTGCAGTAGTATTTATAATTCTTAGTCAGTTTATAATTTGTTCAAATTCTTTTAATTTTAGTACCAATATTACGTGTCTCCTTATAATTCTGACTGACAGTAGTAAAAGTCGGTTACAGTCAGACTAACGAATTGCTGTAAATTTAAAATTGAATCTAATTTGTTCAAAATTCTTGTAGTTTAAGTATTAGTAGTAAAGTTCTGCTCTAGTCAGACTAAAACTACGTGTATTTTTATAATTTTGACTATCAGTAGTAAAAGTTCGTTACAGTCAGACAGAAACTGCTTTACTTCTTCTACTTTTTTAGTATCAGTAGTAAAGGTTCGTTACTTGTTGGTTTATTATCAGTAGTAAAAATTTTTCTTAGTCAGACTGAAACTAGTTTGCTGCCTATAATTTTTTGTAGCAGTAGTAAAAGTAAGTTACAGTAAGACCAGCGATTTTCAATAAATTAAAAATTATATTCTTGTGATTTTAATAGCAATAGTAAAAATTCTTTAAAGTCAGACTTACACTACTTGGCTGCTTCAAATTTTTATCAGTAGTAGTAAAAGTACGTCACAGTCAGACAATATATTTGTTTTTCTTCTAAATCTCGGCCTTTACTAAACTTATACTAAAATTAGAAATTTTACTATTAGTAGTAAAGGCCTTTTTCAGCAAGACTGCAACTACTAGGGTACTTTTAATTTTTAGTAGCAGAAACTAATTTAAGTAGTAAATGTCAAGTTCAGTCAGACACGCTTTTGAATTTCGTATTAGTCAATCAAAAATTATTAAAATTCCGGTAATTTTGTCATCAGTAGTAAAAGTAATTCATAGTCAGACATTCCAAACATTCATTAAAAATCACATGAATTAAAAAAATTTTCTTTTTTAATATTTCAACATTTGTAATTTTTTACATCTATTTGCAAAAAAAAAAAAAAAAAAAAAAAAAATGGGTAAAAATTATCAAGTACCACTGCATTCTAGTGTCGAAGATCTTGAACAATAAATGGTGTATCCTCCCGGTCCGAACATAACATCGAATCATTATTAATATATAATTGCACTTGAAAAAATATCAAAGGACATTTCTTTTTTTTTTAACAATACAAATCGAGTTCGTTGACATATATATAATATATATTTTCTTTTTTCTTACACATAAAAAATTGACTATTAAAAATATAAATTTCTAATCGTAATTGAAACTTTCTTCGTTGCCAAAGTTGTGTCAAATGTCTATGAGCAAAAGTGTGTCTCGTTCCTAAAGTTTCCCAAGACTTCCTAAGGACTAAGTTTGAATTTTCGGGGGGAGGGTGGTGCTATATAGAGAGGGGGTCGAAGGGGGGGGGGTGTCTCTTCACAGGTCGCTGAACACGAGAGGCTCTGCCTTAAGATTCTATCGACAGTCACTGTGCATCAAAGGCGTAATAGTCGGCATACCGTTATTCAATATCGCTTTCTCGGCATTAGCCGAGATCGAACGTTGCTCACAGACAATAACTATTAGCAAACTTTGTAACAAATCGAATAATGTCCGTGAAATTTCAAGCAGCGTTTCTCTCTTGAGATTGATATAGTGGTCGGCATTGAGAAGCACTGTTGAAATTACGTTGTCGGCTTATCTCTCTTAGAAAATTAGTTCTTAATAACTTGGAAATGAGGTCCGAGGATGAGAACTCTTCCTCTCTCTCTCTCTCTCTCTCTCTCTTTTAGTCTCTCTTTTTCTTTTAAGTATTAATATATATAAACCAAATGAACATTTCTTCCGTTTCATCAACTTTTGGAATTTTAGTCCAACTCTCTCTCTCTCTCTCTCTTTAGTTTCCTTTCACTTGATCAGTTTTTCAAAAAAAAAAAAATTCTCAGCAAAAAAAAAAAGAATTCTCTTTACTTTAAGTTTTGAATTGTTTCTTTCAGAGTTTTTCATCCCGGGAACATGAAGATAATTGAGTCGATGTGCACTCTTCCCTCTCTTTTTTTTCACAATTTCTTCAAACGAAACAAACTTCTCTCTTCCGCTCGAACGCGTAATCGATCCGGGCAAAAAAAAAAAAAAAAAAAAAAAAAGGCTGGCGAAAAAAAACTTGCAGAGCAGCTGAAAAAGTATATCCAAAAAGAAATGAAACTTTTCGAAACTAAAACGAAATATACATTTCATACGAGAAAATAATAATGATCGATGTAAAAATACCTAGAGAGAAAGAAAAATTTCAAAAAGAGATAAGAGAGGAAAAAAACCAAAAATTCCAAGTTAAAAAGAGTTAAAAAATATATGCGTGAAAAATTTGGCAACAGTGTGAAACCCTGTGATACGGGAGATTTGAAAAAGGGGTGGGTGTGGGGGGATGAGGGAATGGTGGCTTTTGGCTACGCAACGATATCCATATCAGAAGGATTCGAGGACGTTGGTGCTAAACTGCCGAGAGTCTCGTCGTCGGGCAAAGGATGATGACAAGCGGGTGCAGGTGGACTCAGAGGTGGAAGGTGAGGTGACGACAGCATTGGATCACCACTGTGCACTGGTCCATTTGTATCATCTTCCATCAAATCCTCCAACTGAGACATACTTAGCGCCGCTGCCCCATCCGTTATCACATCTGGCATCTGAAACACATTTTTTTTTCTCAATTCTTTCGACCCCTAATTTCTCTTCATCATCAACACCACATAACACCTTCTTCTTCTTCTTTTTTTTTTCCTTTTTCTTCTTGACATAAAATCTTGTCTGATAAATGTTTCAAAAAAAATTTTCCGAAAACAAGAATTTTTTTTTGGAAATCCTAAATCAATATCAGGGTGTCTACAACTAATTTGAAAAAAATTTCCCTGACATTTACATGTTTTCTAGGCCTTCTAAATTTTTTTTTTCTCCAGGTTTTAAGAATCGACATAAGGGGTTAAAAAAAATGCATTGCATAAATTTTATTTAATAACAGTTATAAATGACGTTAAGGAAGTTCACAACGTTTGTCATCAACGATTTAAAGAAAAAAACAATATTTTACGTTTACAAAATTTTCTTTTTTAACTTTTTGTTCAAGAAACATTGTAAAAGTTTTATTAAGACAAAAGTTTGAATAGAAAATTATTTCTTCTTCTAAATCATTGTAAACGTCACCAACGTTATAAATTATGAATATAAAATAAAACATTTTAAAAAAAATTATCAGGGCTCGAATCAATAACAGTATTTAAAAATACGTACTTTACGGACCAAAAAAAAAAAATTACGGACCATTTACGAACAACAATATAACCAGTCCGAGTCAAATAAGAGAAAATTTTACTTAAAACTATAAAATAAATTTCTTCATGTTTTATATTTTATATAATAATTAAAGATGTCCGAAAGATAAAATCATTATTTTTATTTTATATTTTAAGAATATTGTAGGTACTTCTTCAAAATTATTTTCATCATTTCAATCCAATTATTATTTTCAATAATTTTTAACTAAAATTATTTAACTAAAAGTTCTTTGACAATTTTCAAATCCATTTATTTACAATATTCAATTTTACCGAAATTTACTGAAATTCATTTATAATTCTCAATTTTTATTAGAATTTAATTATTTAAATACAAAAATAAGTAATTTATTGAATTATTGAAGTTTCTTAAAAGTGAATTCTCATAAAGAATTTTACCAACAAAGGATAATTACATTTTTCGAATAATTTAATTAAAATTGTATTAATTTAAAATATTAAAAATAATTAAAATTCCTTGATGAGTTTTATTGTTTATGAAAATAATTGAATTCCTAAAAAGAATTTTATTATTTACGAAAATAATTAAGTGGATGGATACTAAATTATATGAATTTGATAATATTTAATTTATTAAATTTTTATCTTTATCTTATTAACATTTTTCATAATTTTATTTACTGATTTTTTAATATTTAAATTTTAAAATTATTCAATAAAAAGTATCAATTAATTAATTATTATATTAACTAATTAATATTATTATTAGTAATAGTAGTAGTAATTAATAAATAATTAAATTATAACAATAATTTTTTATAACACAAAAAATTACAATTACAAAAATTATTCTACTTTTTACAAATTTTATTGTCATTTCATTTATTTATTATTAGTGCAAAATTTATTACGATTATGTAAATTTTATTCATTTAATTCTAAAAAATCAAATTTTTTTTTAAAAATCTAAATAAAAAAAAGGAAATTGTGCAAATTTTTTAACTCTAAAAAGTAAAAAGAACTACTTATGTGGTTTCGTTAAAAAATTATTTAAATTTTTTTTTAAATAAATAAAAAATTTTTGCATAATTTCAATTTGTGAGACAATATTTTTTAACAAACCTTTTGGTTTTTTAGAGAACAAAATAAAAAAAAACTGTTATGATTTTGATTTGTTAATTACAATTTTGATATCAGGTATTACAGAATTATTATATATTTTTTTTTAAATAAGGCCAACAATTTGCATAATTGCGCTTTCTTATTTAAAAACTTGGCGAGAAAAAGCGAAAAAATGATAAAATAAAATCAATATTTTTTAAATTAATAAAAATTTGTTTAAAATTAATTAACGAGATAATAAATATTTGAGATAATTTGTTTAAAAAAATTTCTGAAAGAGAAATAGAAATGTTGCTAATTCTTTCTTATTTATCTTTAAAAAACTGAGAGTTTTGTTAAAAAATTGTAATTGAAAAATATAAATTGTATAAATTATTTTTTATAAAAAAAACAGAATATGGAATAAAAATTGTCATTATAAAATAGAAATTATGCAAATCAATTTCCAAAAAAACATTTCTTAACCTCTCCTCTTTTAAAACTAAATATTATTTTTCGATTTTTACAAAAAAATATTACTTTTTGTAAGTTTTTCTGCATTTTCATTGGAAAATTAAAATTTTTTCTAATAAATTATGCAAAGTTTAGAAATGGAACAATAGATTTTCAAAAAAATAGAAAAAAATTATATAAAAAATTTTTTTTTGTCATTTTAAAATTATATTGTTCTCACATTTTTTATTTAAAAAAAAATATTTATAATTGAAAAAAATTGTTATTTTAGAATTTTATTAGATATTTTATTGATAAAAAAAACTTAGCTTTCCAATGAAAATAATTTTAAAAAAGTGGAAAATAATACATTTTTTGTAAAAATTGAAATTATTTAATTTTTGTTAAAAATGAAAAATAATATTTATTTTTAAAAAAATATTTTAGGCTTTTATTAATTTTTGGATGCTACACCAAAATTTACTAGAGTTTTATTTAAATTTCAATTAATTTTTAAATTAAATTATTAAATTAATAATTTAATTTAAATATCATTTATAAATTATACATTCAAATGTAAAATTTACCGTAGTTTTAAGACAATCACAGAGAATTACATTTTTTACTTTATCGTTTATTTATTCTATAATTTATTTATTTATTATTATTTATAATTTTTTTTTTATATTTTTTTAATTTATCTCAAATTGAAACAAAAATCGTATAAAAACGTTGCATCGCAATAATTTTGATGTTCTTTTATAAATTAAATAATATAAATATAAATTAATATTTATAAATAAATATATATAAACAAATTAGTAATTAAATTAGTAAATTAATATTTTTTATTCTTTTATAAAAAAAATATTTGAATTTAAATATTTTTAGGCATTATTTTCGTAATAATTAGGTATATTATATTTTATGCTAATTCATATTTTTTAAGTAGTGTGAAGTATTAAAATAAAAATAAACAAAAAGATTATTGTTTACAGTTGACGAAGCAAGTAGTTATATAAAATAATAATTACTAAATTTGATTTTAAAAAATATATATTCCTAAAAATGAAAAATTAAAAATACTTTTTTAATTTTTATGCGTAGTAACAAAATTTTAAATCAATTATTACGTTCTAAAAACAAATGGGAAAGAAGCAACGGCAGTAGGGTAATAAAAATTTTCGATCATTTTGATCTCTTTTTCAATTCAATTTAATTTTCCTTTTGGTTAATTAATAATTTTCCCCTAATAATTTTTTCTATAATAATCAGTAATTAATATTTGTTAATATTAATATTTATTATTATAAATATTTATTATTTTTTTTTAATAATTTGTAAGCTTTAGATTAACTGTATTTTCTTTAAAAGACAAGAAAATTTCTCCTCCAAAAGCATGAAAAAAAAAAAATTGACACTAAAAGTTATAACGCGACTCGTAATAAACAAGCAAACAAACTATTCCGTCAAGTTGAACATGTTAATTTGCAGAAAGGTCGAATATTGTGTCATCAAAGTGATAAAATCTAAACGGAAGGAGACTCATACACGTTTTGTTTCATTTTTCTTTTCAATTCTCAACCTCGATGCATCAAGATGCTTCTCAAAAGCATAATATTATCAAAAAAAAAAAAAGAAAAAAAAATCGTCGTTTCCCCTGTCGCATTACGCGAGTAAATTGAACGTGTGCGGTCAAAAGCAATTAAGATCCTAATCGCATAATTGCTTCATCGAAAGTACGACGAGAGACAGAGGGAGAAAAAAAGTGCATTACGAATTGTTTTTGTTTTTTTCTCTCTCTCCCTCTCTCTTCTTCTCATGACAAGCAGATACATTTTCACTGTATATAGTCCATGGAAAGTTCTCACTTTGAAAATGTGCGGCCAAAGCGGTGAAAGTTTTTCTTCGATTTTCCTGCTTCGATACGAACCGAGGGTATATAAGAAGTTTGGATGTCTCTCAATCCTGAACAAATGCGGTTAAACTTTTTAAACCTCAGATCTTCGATTACTTCCCAAGGACACACGACAGTTCAAACCGACAACTTTTATTGAATCATGAAATGCCGCTCAATACAGCAATTTATTTATTTTTTTTTTTTCTTTACTTCACAATTTTTCTCTAACTTTAAACTTCACTATATTTTGTTTCTTTAATTTTAATATTAAATTTGTTTTAATTTTTCACTGACCTTTCTAATCACATTTTTTTTCCTCACAAAAATTCAGTGTACTCGCTGCGTTAGGAAACTTTTTTTCAAAAAACGTATTTTAGAAAAAAAATGAATTTCGAGAGAAGAATATCCCAGAATAGTGGAAAATAAGGAAAAAATTTAATCTCTCCAACAATGAGAATTCAAACTATTCTTATCAATGTTTACGTTTCCAATCAGAAAGAGATTTAACATCGAGCTTCATGAGATGTGAAACTTTATCTTGAACTAGTAATAATTTCCAACTATTATCATTTTAGAGGTAGAGAATTCACACCTGATAAGGGGAAAAGATTACTCTTGCGTGAAGAAAAGAAAAAAAGATTTGACTCAATAAAAATCAAATTCTTGATAATAGAACGTCAGAAATGTAATATTTTTTTTTTTTTTAAAGAATGTTATCTAATCGGAATGCAACCGATCGTAAAGCATGATTTTCAGAGAGAGTGAGAGAGAGAGATAGTGAAGAAAGAGAGCGAGAGAGAGAAAGAGAGAAAGAGAATTTTATCTCCTGTAATAATTCATCACTCACACTACCTCCGAAAAGCTCCGAACATCTTTCTCAAACAATTCACTGAGATTCACAAGACAAAATCACAGTTTCCTGAAAGCGAAGCACAGGAAG